TTTGAATACTAAGATTGTTTTTAGTATTAAATTAAGTTGTTATTTTTTTGATTTTTGGTACATTTTGCTTAGAGCTCTTCAAGTTTCACATTATTTTCCCCTCTTCCTCTTCCTTCTCCCCGTTTTCCCACTTTCCCATCTCCTCGATCTTCCCACCCTTGTACTTCCTTCCTTACTTCACCCTTTTTCTCTCTATTTTTTCCACTTTTTGAAGGAAGAGTAAAAAAAAGAAGGGAAAATAAAACAGATTTTTGTTTTTATTCGTTCCACTGTATTTCGCTATTTTTTTTTCTACCTTTTTTTGGTACATATTTGAAAAAATGGAAGGATGAAATCATTTTTTTATCACACGTATTTATGTAACTATGTGAGGGTTTTTTTGCGTTTTACTTTTTAAATATATGCTGGTCTGTACAATGACTAAAAGCGATGAAGTTGTTTAAGCATTATTATAATAGACAGTGTTGTCATCGTCAATGTGATTATTGTGGAAGCAAATATTTGAGGTAATGGTGAGGTGTTGTAAAACGGAATGCTTTACTTAACCAAGCTAAAAACGATAAAATTGTTGATATTCGTTTGTTTGTTTGAACACTCAGTAGTACAATTTTTTTCGTCTACCCTGAACCCATCAATAGTAAATCACTGTTTTTTTTTTTCTTGTTGTTGTTGCTGAAAAATTTGCATGTACAAGATGTTGCATAAATTTGTTAAAATATTTTTTACATTTTTATTTCGCACTGATAACAAAGAGTACGAAAAAAAAAGCGGAAAGGAGGAAAGTTGGAATGAGAAGACGAAAAGCAAAAATTAGTGGAAAAATACTAGGACTTTTTTTTTATTTTCATAATCATGGCTAATTGGAATAAATTTTTCTTTTTTCTCTTGTCGCGTTTTTTTTTTCTTTTCTTCTTGATTCGGCTTCTTTAGTAGCTATATTGAATGCTTATTATAATGATGACGATGAGGAGGATAAAAATGAGAATAAGGATAATGATGGTCGAATATCTGTCTCTACCTTCCGTAGTATTTTCATGTACATTTCCCGGATGTTTGGGATAAATGAGTTTCCTAAGCAGTGCTTCTAAACAGACCGAGGTACGCAGCTGTGTGTATCTCTCTTATTTGTTTGTTTGTGTGTGTGTGTGTGTTTGGGTATGGTTTATATGTTTGTTTGTATGTTTTTAAAGTGTAAAAGGAATGGCAGTTTTATGGTTTCCACTGTTATGGTCCTTTCGACAGACTTAGGAAGCCGGATGTCTTTGGGGAATCGGCCGTCAGAGCATTGGCAAGTATATTATGAGACAGTTTAAGCAATTAAAACCTTCGGTTTTTTGTTCATTTTTAGTTCGTTTTTGGTTGTCTCCATTTTTTTTTCTCTTACTTCAATTTTTTGTTTTATTTCCTTATATCTTTTTATTTTTCTGTTTTCGACGTCACCCTCCTATCAGCCGATGTTCGTTGATTCTCATCGTCAACTGCCAACACCTCTTTAAACGGGTTGACAACTGATGCTTCTCGATAGTTTTTTTAGCATCCTAAAAATTTTGCTCTTTTGTCCTCCCAGTGTGCTGAAACTGTTGGTCATGTAAACGTTACGCTAGAAATTTTTTTTTCTTTTTCTAATTTTTTTCTTTCTGTTTTCTTTTTTGTTTCTCTTTAAGAATTTAATACTGTGCATTATTATTGAAATGAAGTGCAAAAAAGAATCAGGATACAAATTTAATTTGTTGTTGTCAAGTGCAACGTGTGCTCATTTTATTAAGTGAACTTTTGGGTGTTTAATTGAAACAGTTAGGTAAATAACTTATTTGATTTTGGTCAGTCAGATCAGAATAATTGATAATTTATCGTAATTTTGATTTTTCGCTCACGTTTCAAATAAAAGAAGATTTCTATGTACTTCTGCATGTATGCCTCTGTATTTCGTTTGCTGGTACTTCTATAAAAATAAGAAGAAAAAATTTTTATGATTTATTTTTTTTAAAAAATATTAGTTGATTTTTTTTTTCTTTACTGGTAACTATGGGAACCAATTCCAATCTCTTTTTGCTGCTACAGCTGCTTAGTGGGATTCAGGATGACAGTGGCGGTGGCGGTGGCGGTAGTGGTGCTGGTGCTGGTGATGGTGATGGTGATGGTGATGGTGATGGTGATGG